TGACATGTGGGTTATGAGAGACCCAGCACAGAATACCTGCAAACCAAAAATGCAAACCCAGACCTGACAGTGAGTTTGAAAACTCAGGAAATCAGGTTTTAGAGACAAAAATGCCATTTTACCTCTTACCATACAGTTTGTCTGTTTGGCCTGTGAGTGTGACAGGGCTCTTTCTCAGCATCCTCATTCCCTGGGCCCTAGGGACTGCAGGACATGGGGTGCAGCGGATCTGATGTTTTGGCATCCTTATCTCCTCTTTTGGGGGTGAGAACAGGGAGATCGTGGCACATGGACTCAGGGGCTGCTTTCTGCCAGTGGGTCTCTGCTTGGCGCAAAGGTGGCTGGGCAGCCTGTGCCCCCTTGGGATGGAGGATGGTGCTTGGCCAGTGCTGCTCAGTCTCTGCACAGGTTACAGTGAGCAGAAGACAGTGACAATGTCAAAGCAACGAACTCACGAACTTCCCATGCAATTTCCTACAAGGAATATCCCCTGGACATGGTCCAGAGGCATTTCAGGATGCCACAATGGCTGGTGTTCTGGAGGCAGGTGGCACTCGGTGTCAGTGTCCTGTCTGGTTTCCATCCTGGGGATACTCTGATGTGCAGAAGAATAATTCAGAGTGATTTGTTAAAATGCAGCTGATTGATGCCATTGGGAAAAAGGGTAGAGCTCCTTTTACCTGGTACCCAAGTTCATCAGTGTGGTGCTTGCCATGGACCTGGCTTGTTCTCCTCCCATGGTGCCAGAGACTCTCTCAGTAAAGAAGGAAACCGTCCCCCCCAATGCTTCCCAGGTCTTCCTCCTACTCCTGGATGGGAGAGCATCATCCTCCCTTTGCTTCAGAGTAGTAGGGTCACCACTCCCATCATGTCATGGAAGCACTGACCTCCTAGGGAAAAAGCAACGGTACCAGCTCAGCATCCCAATTCCACTGAGAGGCAGGCTGCTAAACACAGGCTGCTTTGCCAGAGCCCTCCCAGCCCCTCTGAGCACCAGCGGCCGGCATGCATGGGGCTGGGGAGAGGCCAGGTCATACACACTGCTCCCGGCCCATCTGAGCAGGGTGCTGGGGATGGACAAGGGTGTGTTGGAGCACTCGTCTGTGCTCACGTTTGACTCCATGAGCGTGTTAATTAGAGACATTTTACACTGGGAGTGCACACAGCTCCCAAGGGCAGGTCTCTATCAACTCGATTATTAACAAAAGCAAAGACTCCCTCAGAAACGGTCCTCAGGGGCAGGGGAACAGAACAGAGCTGGCAGATCTTTAAGGATGTGATCCACAGAGCACAAGAGCTCTCAATCCCTAGGTGTAAGAAATCGGGCAAAGAAGGGAAGAGACCGGCGTGGTTGAGATGAGAGATGCTGGTCAAACTAAGGAGGAAGAGGGAACTGCACAGGCAGTGGAAGCAGGGACAGGCATCCTGGGAAGAGTACAGGGACGCTGCCCAGTTGTGTAGGGATGGGGTCAGGAAGGCCAAGGCGCAGCTGGAGCTAAACTTGGCTAGGGATGCGAAGAATAATAAGAAGGGTTTCTACAGGTATATCAGCTGGAAAAGGATGGTTAAAGAAAGCGTACCCCCACGGATGAGCAAGACCAGCAAGCTGGTAACAGCAGATGAGGAGAAGGCTGAGGTACTCAACAACTTTTCTGCCTCAGTCTACTCTGGCAACCTCTCTCCTCACCCCTCCAGAGTCGATGGATGGCATGAGGGGGACCGGGAGGGTAAAACCCCTCCCATTGTAAGAGAAGATCAGGTTCGTGACCCCCTGAGGAACCTGAATGCACCTAAGTCCAAGGGACACGATGAGATGCATCCCAGAGTCCTGAGGGAATTGGCCGATGTAGTCGCCAAGTCACTCTCCATGATATTTGAAAAGTCATGGCAGTCAGGTGAAGTCCCTGGTGACTGGAAAAAGTGATCAGTAATTATAAAAAAAAAAAAAATCCTTTATGCATTGTATTAGAAAGGCATGTGGGGCACACTCAACCAACCAGTATTAAGGAAAGCATTTCCTTCCTGTATTGATCATCCATCCAACCAACTAAGTTGCATTAAAAAGGCAGGGGGGAGGACAACAAGCCAAGTGTTATACATAGCAAATTCTGATTAGATTATGAAACTTTAAGAAGATCTTAACAAGTGGACAGTGTGCATTTTACATAATTAGCTTGTTACTTATAAATGCCCTCCATAGTGCCAATGGCAGATTTTCACCACCTAAAATAGCCTAAAGCTGTTGGATTCAAGAACTCCTGCCATCCCAATTTAGATCAACTGAAATACAGAAACCACGAGGTGGTTTCGTTACACCAAGATTAAGAATTGAATCGGCTCTTGTGTGCCTGGATGTTGGAAGGGGTAAAAGATTATAGAGGGTAAAGACGTATTATGTCACACTTCACCTTGCCAGCCCAATCCTCACCAAATGTGAAGGCTGTTCCTCACAACATTTTGACATATTTCAGGTTACTTTGGGGGGCATAGAGCCTCACTTTAAGACTGGACATAAAGACACAGCATTGTGGGATTCCACAGTTGTATCCATATTCATTTAGCAGAGAACGGTCCCCCAGCTCCATGAAGCTGGGACTGTTTCACCTCGATTCCAAGAAGCTCAGAGCAGGCCTCGAGGTACAATCACTGCCTGTAAAACATGACCAAGTAGCTAACCAGATAAGGAAGCCATTTGGGTTTCAAGTTGCCCATGCTTGACAAGGAAGTCCCAAAAAATGCAGAGCTACATAATGTCATTCCTATGCCAGTCCCTACACTGCTCTTTCCCAGGGACTGCAGACATCTAAAGGAAGAACCATTTTCAATTCTAAGTAAAAAGTACAAGAAAACATGCTAGAAAGCATCTTGAGGAAAAATTGTCTCATGGGAAGAGGCTCCACGGGCTTAGAGTTATCCCAGCATGCAAACATCATCCAAGACACCATCAACCAATTTGTGCAAGTTCCCATTTGCTAAACCACCCACAAAACAGGCAGAGCAGAAGGACAGTCCTTAAGTCATTGGTTACTCAAAAATGCCTTGGAGGTAAGCTATGAGGTCTGTGGGTGCATACTGCATGATGCCTTATCTCCAATTACTGAATAGCATTAAGAGATATTAATGCTATTACCTGGACAAGCTGGGCCTGTGTGAACCTCATCAGGTTCAACAAGGCCAAGTGCAAGGTTCTGCACCTGGGTCGGGGTAACCCCCAGTATCAATACAGTCTGGGGGAAGAAAGGATGGAGAGCAGCCCTGCTGAGAGGGACTTGGGGGTGCTGGTGGATGAAAAGCAGGACATGAGCCAGCAATGTGCGCTGGCAGCCCAGAAGGCCAACCGTATCTTGGGTTGCATCAGGAAAAGCATGGCCAGCAGGTTGAGGGAGGTGATTCTGCCCCTCTACTCTGCTCTGGTGAGACCTCACCTG